GGAACTGCTGAAAGCTTCAGTACTGATTCAGCCCCTCATTTAAATGCTCAGGCCAAGACAATATGCTGTTAGCGGCTGAAGAGAGGTGGAGGGCATCCACAGATAGGAGACTGCTTTGAAAAAGGTTGTACAGAACAAAGTCCCAAGCTGGGAGTAGAGCGAAGCAAGCCTCAGGCGCCCGGCTGCCAGGCTCCACCCGAGGCAACCAGATTCTCTCCTGGCTTCCACAGGCCTGGAGCTGGCTCTGCAAGATAGTATTTCATCTGCAGTGAAAAAGTTTCAGTTTACATTTAATTTCATGAGCATATTCTCAGACATAATTGAATTTAAAAAGTAAATGTGTGCTTTTACTAAACTTCAACTTAAGTGCTCTACTGAGTGCCATGGCTTTGCACTTCTGTCTTTCCTGCTTGTTGAATACAGAAATGTGTAGGATATCTCTCAAGACCTTTATAAAAACAGAATTCTAACAAGAATATGAGTCATGTCTGGACTGACGTAAAAATGAAACAATATCATTCTTGTCACCAGAATGAAGCATGGCTGACACACTTCAAGCCATGACACACCCACATGGCCTTTAGGCTAAAATAGCACACACAAAAGAGTGCAGTTATCATCAGAAACTTCTATAAATATGTAACATTTAGCCTATTGAATCCTAACTGCCAGACTGTATAACCTTGCCATGAAGTAGCATTCTACCACTCAAAGCATCATACTTACTTCAGTAGGACCAATAGATTCAGGGCATTACCCAGTCCATGTCCCAACATCTGTATATCTGGACACACAGTGTCTGAATCAGACCTTAAACTCCAATCCTTTTTAGATTTACATCACCTTCAGTCAACATAGAAACACTATTTAGTTTCTTTTTCACAAAGGTCTTGATGCACATTCATCTGCTGCACCACTACCTAGCTACCAGGCTGAGCATCCCTGTGCCATCTTCACCCATGCTTGGAGACACTGGTTTCTACAACAGTCTTCCCACATCAGAGAATTAGTGTTTGTTGGTCATCACTTACATGGATTTACTGATCTCTCTGGTTACTCGGTCATCTCCTGGACACCTTTGATGCACAGCTCAAGTGTGGACAATTTTTGGCAAGAGCTGCTCAGGTATCAATGTACGGCTTCTGTGACTTTTGTGCTCTACGCCTAGACCAAGTGTTAGATGTCAGAAACAGTTTCTCTGTGGGTCACGGGCAGTCCCAAGAGTTCCAGCTAGACCAGTTCTGGAAGCTGAGCTACTGCTTTTAAACCTGTCACAGACATCTCTACAGTCAGCAGGGTAGAAACACTCTCGAGTATGAGCGAGCTAGAAGGTAGAACTGAAAATAAAACATGGGCAAACTTGCACCATCTGTTTTTGAAATGCCAACACTTTCCCAGAATAACCTATGCATCACTACCTCAAGACATTCCCCAAAAGCAGCACTTAACTAAAAAACAGAACTGTTGTCTGAAAATGATTTATGAGTGAGAGGAAGGCAACCTATTTGTTCTGATGTGTGCGGCTCCGAGCTTCACACCTGTCTATGTTCGGTTCAGTCTCTGTGTATCTGCATTCTTCAGTGCTCATCTCACAGCCCCATACAAGAGATTTATGCTTTAATTTGGCAGCCAGTAGGGAAAAAAAAAGTTAAAAAAAAGAGGAAACAGGAAGAAGGGTTGTGAAAAGAGAATGAATCCAGATGCAGGATATTTTTCTACCCAATTTTATTTTCAATTTTGAGTAAGTTAATAGTGGTGTCTTGTCAATACAATAAATAAAGGCTATGGTTGGTATGTTAAAAGAATGTGAATGGTTCAGAAACAAAAGCTCTGTTGACTTTCATGGGTCAAAACATCTGAAAACCAAAGACAGTTGCTTAAACATAGGTATCTAGGGTCTTTTTTAGAGGCTCTTGGGGTGTCCTCCAGCTCACAGTTCCTGACCCAGAAGAACACATATCTCCTGTAAGGTTTGTGTCATTTTTGCCAGACCCATGCCAGGCCCACCCTAGGGCATCTCAAATGATACTAGCTGCCAGGCCACTAAGTCCTCTATACTTTCATTTTTTCAGAGCTGCTATTCTTGATGCTATTCTAAGATCTGTGAATGAGCAGGGCCTCCAATAACCAGGTGACCTATCAAAGTGTCTGGACATAAATTCACTGATTAAATTCTACAGTTTTACTTGAAACTTGTGGACAATGACTGCTACAAGCTGAATGATGTAAAAAGGCACTTATTCATGGCAATGACTTGTACAGAGGAAAGGGAGATGACAACCTGAAATTCAGATGTAATACAATAAATTGTTTTCCTGTTTTCATAGCTGATTGTCTGGTTTCATGTTGTCATCTGTCAGTTGGATTTAAATTTGAATAGCTATCTCTGAATGAACTAGTGCTCACTAACATTTGATATGACAAAGAAACTTATTTTATATAAGGATACGGTAATTTGACCATCTCTCCTCAGCCTATGGAATAAGGGAACACACTGGGCTCAGAGAGTCACTGTGCAGGGATTTACAAATCCATTTGTGAAAGCCTGGGGTTTTATTTCCACTCATAACATCAAATTCAGATTTTTTTTTTTTTTAATTCTAGAGCAAGTGTGAGTCTAATTGTTAAACTCAAAATCAATTTTTGAGGTTGAAGAGTGGATATGGATCTCTAGGAAGCTGTACCACTACGTCCTTCTAATCCCACTGCCCAGAATAGAGATTAATCACTGGAGTTTCAAAATTCTTCCATTTAAAGCAATAATGACTTGGGATTATCTTATCCGCATGAATTTCCTCATACGATTTCAGCACCCAAGCTCTAGATGAGTATCTTGGCACAACACCCACAGTCATCTTAATGTCACAATTCATACAACCACTGTTTCTGTCGGGTTTGTTATTTGCAAAGTACTTAATTTTATTGAAGTCCATTTGGAGACGGATGAAAACATACATAGAGTGTAAAGGAAAACATACTTTATTGTGAATATGGCTTCAGAGATGTATGAGACATATTTCAGAATATACTGTTATACATCAAATGAGGAAAAAAAAAAGCTATGATGCACGAGATAAATGACCAGTGCTTGAGACCAATGAAAAATATGCACACAGCTGTTCTAACAGCACGATTCTGATACTAATCACAACATGTATCAGATAGCATTTATGACCAGAGGCAATTTTAAACAATGTTTATAAAAAAATGCAAGTTTTGGACCTATTCCTGCATTGTTGTCTATCCAGAGCTTCAGCGAATCTTGCAGCTGTGTGGAGGGAACAAGGAGAGCAAACTGACATCCCACCTCAGGCAGCAGAAGGTAGAGATGGAGGAAACATCAAAAACAAAAGATAAAAACACTGTTCTACAAAAGTAAAAAAGCAAATATTATCTCAAGGAATATTATTATTTTCACAGGAAATCTTAACTGCCACATCCTGACTCCATTAAAGCCAATGAGAGTCTCCCACTGAGATCAGTGGAGCCTGAATTTCATTCTGAAATTTAAAACATTCTTGCATTAGTGTAAACATCAGCAGAAACAACATGTCAGCATCTATATAAGTATTCAAGTGCTGTCAAAAAAACCCCCAAAAAACAGATAGTGCTAACCCCAAATGCCAGTATATATCCAAAAGGCAGATAATTAAAAGAGGTTTTTTCAAATATATATTTTAAAGTATTTAAAAGCATCCATTTTTTAATATGTCATTGCAAGGGAAAGGATCTATGAGAAAAATCTAAATTATTTGCAATGATAAAGGAAGGGCACAGTGAAGAAACCAGTATTTTTCCACTTTGGAGTCATGGCATATACGTGCACATTCAAGTGTGTTTCAAAGCAGTGCTGAGGAATGGCTGTACTTCATCATTATGAAATATACTCCTGCTGTGCAAGCATTTCAGCATTACTCCTCAGGAGCCATTTACACCCATTCATATTTTCAGTAAAAAAGAAACAGAAAGAAAAATTTATTGAAGAAATATTTTTTATCTTTAAACAACCTGATGAGAATTTACATCATGGCAATTTGCAGTCATGCATCTGGAGATCCAGAGTCAATACAACTTTGCCATTTGCTGTTAGAGTTGTGCCTGTTTTCAAACAGTTCTTTGCTAATTTTCGTGCGGATATCAGGACTGGACAACAGCTCCTTTATCTGATTCAGTCTGGATAACAGGGCCTGTGTTTCTCTGTGCAAAGCTTCCTTTACTAAGTCTGCTTCATGGCTCTTTCCTAGAGGAAAAGAACAATATAATACATTTTATAACAACTAGTGTCATTTAGTCATTAATGTATGGCAATACAGAGATTGTATCTGGTTTGGACAGTATTAATTGCTCAGCCTTTTGCCCATATTCTTTTTTTATAAAAAGGTACTTTGTCAAAAAAAATATAATTTACATCGACAAATGCTACCAAAAAGTGAAGAACAGTACAGCGTCACACTTAAGAGAAACTCCTGCCATATTACATACTGTGTAATAGTATCTGCGATGAGTATCTGCAGTGGTAATTTTTAGCCTGGGGTTGACTGCTGTTGACTAGGAAACAGCATGTGCTCTCACACGGAGTAAGCAGCCCTGCGGCAGTGCCAAACCCCCGGGCGGAGGGCGTCGCTTCCACTTATGGCGAGGCCTCTTCCACGGCCATTCATGACAATCCGAAAGGCAAACGCAAAGGGTTCGGTTTCTCTTCAAAAGCAAGGAAGGGACCTTTGGCATCAAGGGCCAGTGAAGACTGGAGCCGTCTGCTTCACCATTCTTGTCTTTTTTCCATCGTCCATCCCTCCCAGCGTTCAACAGATTTTCCGCAGTGCAAACACTTATAAACCAGTAGACAGTGTCCTTCGATTCAGAACAAACTTTTGATAAGAGACTCACAAAGCAGAGTGCCTGTCACCCAGCACCACTTAGCAAATTTCAGCAGGGAGCTGGGACATGTTTTTGTGGTTATTCTTGGTGGGATATTTGTCCCCGGGCTTTTTGCACAGTGCTCACTTGCTGTTATCATTGTTGCTCTCATTCTTACTGCTGCTTGCTGCTTCTTCAGTTTTCACGGGGCTTCCATCAGTCTGTCTGGTTTTGTTTTGCGTTTCTTCTAAATATTGCTGTACAGCCTTCAGCACCGCGTTCTCCACCAGCCTTTTGCTGAGGCTCACCAGCTCTGCATCGTCTGGCTCTGCTGCATGTTTTTCACCTATGCGTCACGACAGACAAGAGAAGGAATTCATTGCCACGGAAGGATAGTAACCATAATTGTATCAGGAGTGAGCTGGATTTTAAGCTATTAGCCGCCTCTTCCTGATTGTAAAAAGTAATTCCACCCTCCCCGCCCCAAGCTCTGAATCAAAAGTGCTTCATGAAGATGTATACGGTATATCAGATCAAAAGCGTTTCACTGCTCATCTTTATTGTACCACTTTAGTAAGCCACAGGCTAACATGATGAGCACCCACTCAGCTTAGAAGAGTGCAAATTTAATTCCTTATGGTCAACAGTCATCTGGGCAAAGATGAAGAACATGGCACATGATGAATTTACATTTTAGCAGCATTCTTAAATTTAGTTTTGTGATTTTGCTTAATAAATCTAAAAATCTTCTACCTATTTATTCATTGCCTGAAATTCAAGAGTTTCTCGTGGGAAAAATGACTAAAATACTCTAAATGCAGGTTAGAATTTATTTTCCAAACAAAGCTTAAAATTTGCAAAAATTATATACTCCCTCCCTGTCTCTCTTCTGTCTTCTAACATAAAGCTCTGACATTGAAGGAATACAAGTTCCAGCAGTCTATTCTTAGATATCTGCTGACAAAAGCAAGAAGCTAGCATTTCCCTGCTTTGTTAAGAGTTCACATGAATAAACGTATACAAAGAAATAACTGTATACATAGTGAGGATTCCCATGCATCATTACATGTATTTTGAAACTGCACTTTTCCATGAACCATTTTCCTAATAAACTATATAGCCTACTACAGCATCCTCCTTTTATGAGGAGTGCAATCCAGGAAAAGCAAATTTTATTGTCCAATTTCCACTGGCTGTGTAATCTGTCACTTTGCAATTTCTTGCGCTAGATAAGTACTTTTTCTCTCCATCTATATTTAAATGCCATACTTTTAATGTCCTTTTCTGGAGTTAGCATTCTGCAACCAGTAATAAGAGGCTGCTTAGTCACACACATCTGGTGAAAGAGATACTATTGTATGCTCTCAGCACAAAGCTTTGTACTGTTCAATTATCTAAATTTGCTGGTTTTCATACACGTAAATTTATTTGTTTGCCAGCACATATAGGTTATAGTTATAGAAGACTTTTATTAGTCTTCCTAGTGGATTGCACAACCTAGGAGTGATTTCACTGATAAAACATAATTCACATGGGGATTTGAGGGGGAGAGGGAGAGGTGAACAAAACCCTTCATTTTGAGAGGCAGTGCATTTACAAGCTGTTAGTAAGAGCATCCTGCTCTGCAACAGGATGAGAGACAGACCAAACTCTTCCAGTTCTGGGTCTCCACAGCACTGTTACTGTGGGGAAGGAAGAACTGTACTCTCCAGCTGAAGCGTCATCAGACTACACCTGGGTAAAGCATTTCAGTACATTTTGGAAAAAGTTTGGAAAAATACTCTGAAAAATATTTTAAAAGGCAGCTGTGGGAATAGTTTTGGTTAACACAAAATTAAAAAAATAAGAGAACACACTAAAAATGGGTTTAGCATTTCCAATAAGAAACATTTTAGGTTAACATGCAAGTCTGAGGGAGGCACAGGCACTATTCCCAAAACCACTCAAACAGCTACATGCTCCATGCTCTCTAGCCCACGGCTTACCATGTTCCTTTGCTATTTGCAAACCCTGGGCTTAAACCTATCCTTTAACTTACTTAGAGGAGGGACTTAATTCAGGCTCTTATCTCTCAGAAGACCTAAGATACATATGAGCAGCATCTCCTCCCAGCTTTTATGAATTGATCCCACAGGCTCCTTTGAATGCAGCCCTTCGATCCCAAATTTCCTTTGCTTTTGTTAAAGATGTTTGACAAAATGTCTTGGTTGTCCCAGTCTATGTATTCACTAGAAAAAAACGTAACACTCTAGTTTCAAGTTGGAGAGTTTCTTATATTTCAGAATTGCTAGTGAATCACAGAAATTGTTATTCACACAGTTCTAATGATCTGTCCACACAACTCTGAACAAAATCAATGTGAAATATGGTGTTCAGCCACTTTGACACTTGACCCTATAGTACTTAATATGCAGAATATGACTAATCAGTCACAGAGACCCCCAGATACCACAAAACAGTAGTGATTATATTTAATCAGACTGTAATTTTACTCATAGTACATTATCTATTATTCTTAGAGTCTAAAAAAGGACAGAGCTCTTCTCTCATAAATATTTCCTGTGAAACAGTTCTCATTTACATGTACATGTATAAAATCCATATATCTACTATTGCATTTAAAACTTCGAAGTGAGTAGACAGCTCACTGTGTAATTTCTCAAGCATCAAAAAAGTCAGACTCCTTAAAATGAGCCTTTTAAAAGTACAGTTTATATAGCTACAGAAGAACGTTTTGCATTTTCTGTTGTTGTTTGTTTTTAGTATTTTGAGACATCTATGGCTCACCAACAGTCTGGAATTGAGTCCATAGTGCCTCCTAAGTGACTCTGCACTCCCACTGGAAAGACACACACGGGATCTGACTGATCCGTGAATGCAAAGGCATGCACATCCCTGTATGAAAAGTGCCCTTGGACTTACCCGTCCGGCCACCTTGCTGGACTGGCACATGGGGCTATATGATTCACTCATGCTGTTTATATGCTCAGACTCCCCAAATAGCAGTTGTGTGAGTGTCTGTGCAATGCTGAGGCTCATTGGCAAGGTAGTTGTATACTATTGTATCATTCCTATTCATGACTGTTGACACAAAGAAATAGGTCACGTAATAGTAACAGGTATTGATCATCTATATTTACTTGAATACTTAACACACACACATATATATATGTCCTGTTTATATCTCTCCCTCTCCATGCTGCATCTGATGCTTGCCTGCTTCTTAGATGTATACAATTCCTTTGCAGCAGGCAAATGCTTCCTTGGGTAGACTGTCTTATGCTATTGGAATTATCAGATTGTCAGTAAAAAGTCATTGTAGATATGAACGTTTTAGATTTAAAAGGGAGGTTTAAAAATTCAGAACTGCTTTGTTTGTAAACTCTGTTCTGAAAAGGGAAGATATCTACCACGTGCACCATATTTGCATCTATGCTGTGCCTCTCAGTACGGACTGTGCCACTATATTTCCGTGCCTGCGAATAAAAAAACCTTCCAATGCCTTCTCCTGCATGCGGCTCAGAATAAAAATGAAAAAAAAAAAAAAACAAACCACAACCAAACAACAAAACAAAACAAAAAACCCCAACACACTTTCATTTTGTTTATCCTAGAATTCTCTTCTTATAATTTTCAAAAGATGGAAACAAATTCAACCTCTGTGAATGTATCTCAGCGCATCCACGCTAAGCAGTGCTTTTTATTACTGAAACTGAAGCATACCTATGCCCTGAAATGACCACCATTTTTTACAAAAGGGAACTATCAACTGCACAGAATTATTCAAAAGGAGCTCTATGATCCTACAGCGTGCTGCTAGCAGTTATGGACATGAATCAGATCCCTGCAACCAAATCCAAGCCATATCTCTCTACTGGGCTAGGTTTACTCTCCAAGTCTACAGCCCCTTACAGTTTGCAAGACCGTGAATCTGGGTTTTGAAATACTGCATTGGAACAAATCAGATTTTGTGGTCCTGGTACAGTATTTTCATCGTCCTGACACAGCCTGTTTTAGAGTTCATGTGGATCTCTCAGATTTGGAGAGAGAGACTTTTTGTGAGAGATTTAATGGAAGGAACCAACCGTGGATCCCTTTTACAGGAAAAGCCAGTTTTACAGCCTTTTACCAGCTACATTCCAAGACAACGTTCTGCAATCCTTGCCGCATGGCCTCAACACACTGGGTTTTATTTTTCCTTCCAACAACCTTTCATCACAACAAAATTATGCCAACACAGGGCAAATTACAAAGGAGACCCTTGGTATTTTGAATAGGTGACTGGGACCAGCTGGGAAGTCTGTACTCCAGCAGCTAGACGCACCCTGGGGAGGGCTGTGGTAACAGATATGCCTCTGTCTACCCTTTGGTTCATCAGATTTAGAACACGGTTTTTACAGTATCTAGAAACAAAAAAACCCATGAGGGACTCAGGAAATTTTTCAAACACTAAACATTAAGAAATTCCTTCTGAATGCTGAAAAACTTCATTTTTCTACTTACATTGTCCTTCTCACTGACACCAAGAGGGCAAGTGAAGTCACTGTTGCATATGCATGAAGCTTTCACCACACGGTTCCCTTTCTATGAGTGACTGCTCAGTGGCTCCAACTCGTAATAGTCCTTCACTATAAAATAATTGATTATTATCCCCTCTGTACTGGGCCAAAAGCTTTTCTGGTGTGCAGTAAAATGGGACTGCAAGGAAGGAGACAACTACTCTAACTATTGATGGACTAAGAAACCTTCAGCAGATGATTATCAATTATTTCTGCATCTGGTGGGGTTGGACAAAACAAAGGCAGGCCAGTAAAACAAATGCCAGCCAGATTTCAACATGTGAAGTCATACCGTTTGCGATGTCAATGGTTGTGCCTTTATCATGGTTCACTATCTCTGCATTATGAGGAAGAGAGAGACATCATTTATACTCACAACACCCAGGAAGATGCAGACTATTGCAAAGTTGCCATGCCTGGCTGCAGCCTATGGAAACATTTGGCTTTTGCTACATGAGACTTTTGCGTCTACAGAATCTGATTCAAAATTAAATCTCATTGACTTCTGTGGGAATCGTATGAGGTTCCCACACCAACATACTGAACTGCAATGTCCTATGTATTAGACCAATGTGTTGAACATTTTCTTTACCAAGGATTTTCAGATAAATTTGGTAGGCTATACACATTAGAAAAACTGTAGCACTACAGAAATACCATCCCTGCTCTCCCTGCAAAGACAGTGAGCCCACAGTCCATAATAAATTGAATAACAAGCTATAACCAGCCAGCAAACTGTATGCTTTCCACCCTTGCAACAGACTGAATGAGCCAACACATTCAAGATCATGGTTTTGAAGTAATGAACACAAACACAAGCATGTGCCCATATCTAATCAACACAATAAGCATAGACAGGAAAGCCACAACTCTGAACAATTCCTCATTAGTTAGCAAGGACTTCCATGCAACGTCTCCAGAGTGGTCACTTAAGGAATTGGCACAAATAAGGCACTGAGAGGAAGGGTGAAATTATAATCTCATTATGACATGATGGTGATGACATTTATGTTGCTGGATGTTCCCACCTGATGTTAAGCAGCATGTGTAATTTAGCTCTTCTCTTGGAAATCTAACAAACTTCTTTAGTTTTACATATGTTGTTCTGTAAATACAGGACTGTCTAACAAGGCAATACCAATCTGTCTTTCATGCTGAATACATGCGTTTCTAGTTTGCTGGGAAGTTTTTTTTTTAATTTGACTTGGCCCAGCATGGAATAAACCCAAGAAAAATAGGAATTTCTAGTGAAGAGGAAATTAAGGGTGTTGCAGGTATTCCAGGAAAATCGTGCTCTTGCCAGTTGC